GGTATGTATCTTTGGCGCGTATATAGTCCTTGTAGATCATTAGCAGCAAAGCTCTTAATTTCAAATGGAACATTGTAAGCATGATTTGTTTGTGCCAACTTGATTTGTTTTTTCACAGTTATTATGTTTCGTATGCATTACATATTTAGAATTGAATGGCTGCTGGAACGAACCTATCCTTGCATGGGATTGTGCACGTTGGAGTTGTTTTTAGGTGTTCTTTAGGAAGATCATATGGGTAGGTGATGTATAAGAATAAGATAATGAAACATTGTATTTTGTGAGCAGATTTGTCGCATAGTGCCATGTAGCATGGGCATATCTCGTAGGCACACATCAATTCACTCCAAATACTGTACCATGCTAATTTAGTCAGCCAAACAAAATCTTGCATATCCAACCCCAACTTCTATAACTGTACATACAAAATGAGATTCCATTGGGTCACCAAGCAACTCACTACATATCTGGATTGGGTTATTACCATGGATGATCATTTTGTCAGCATTGATATATTGCTTCTTAATTTGGGCCCTGCAGGATGCTTTACGGTCAAGCTTTGAGTCATCAATTATCCCAGCATTTGAACAATCTTGTAAGACAATGTTTGAGCAAGTGGATGGTGCATTCCAGAAGGGCATGTCTGAGCATGGTACTGCTATCCAGCAGCAGGTCGCAGCAGCACATAGTCCATTGGCACAGACTTTAAGGGTAAGGCTTGCAAGTCTTTCATTTTGTTCTTATTACATTAAGTGCCAGAGGCCATAAATATGAAGACACAAGCTGGATATATTATACATTTTTCCCATATGCTGAGTAATGCTCATACTTTCTTTCTCATTTGATTTTTTTCAGGAAACAATCAATTCAGCATCATCAATTACCCAGGGTCTTACATCAGAGTTACTTGATGGTCAGCGCAAGCTTTTGGCACTAGTTGCATCAGGGAACCCAATATCACATAATACTAGTGCTTTGCAGCCCATCAACGGACCAATACCCAATCTCCCTGAGGTACTAAATACTAAATTTTCCACTCTAGTGGTCTACCTATTTGCTCTATCAGACTGTTTCCATCCTTGGCCTTCTGTACGATTGAATACGTGGGATATAGTCTTAACCCCCCACCCCACCACAGTTCATTTGTGTGTTTTCTGAATAATGAAAACATCAAGCATTTGGTTTACTGGTTGTAATTGCTGTTTTAGGCTGATGTTCCACTGGACCCGATGAAGGAGCTAACCAGACTATTATCTGAGCAAAAGTTTGATGAGGCGTTTACGATGGCTCTTCAAAGAAGTGACGTCTTCATGGTATCTTGGTTGTGCTCTCAGGTATTGGCCACACTTAATTTTTTTAAGTAGTTGGCCTGTTCCCCATTTTCTTGAGCAAATCAAGAGATGTATAGAGACATACAAACTTGCATCTCATAGTTAGTTCATCTCATGAACCCATGCTTTCGTTACACCACGGAGAAACACTTTGATCAGGCTATGCAACCTTTTAACTAGCATATATGTGTAAGTGTGGATACCTGATACCCTTTCTGGCAGGTTGATTTGCAAGGTCTGTGTAGACTGAACCCCGTTCCTCTGAACCAAGGGGTCCTTCTGGCCCTTTTCCAGCAACTGGCATGCGACATAGCCAACGACACACCTCTGAAGCTTCAATGGATGACAGCGGTCGCCATGGCAATCCAACCAACCCATCAGATGATTGCAGCGCATGTGAGGCCAATATTTGAGCAAGTCTATGGTGTCTTGGCCCGCCAACAGTCGGTACCAGGAACCAGCCCACTGGAAGCGAACAACATCCGCCTAATGATGCATGTAATCAACTCGGTGATGATGACCCACAAGTGAGATGATAGGGCGCATTCTGTAGCCGCTGTAAGTTTGAACCACCATATGATCTATTTGTGAGCCCGTGTACAGAGGGAATTTTGAGAAGTGGCTCTTGAACCGGCAATGTGGCAGTGATACCATACCCCTACCTAGAAGGTGTTGTAAATTGGTTATGTTCGTGTCCGTACTTATGGCGCCTACCACCTTGTTTGGTGGAGCGCTTTAGCTCGTTACTTGCATTCCTTGCACATGCGTTGAGATGTTTGTGGCCACCGTGCCAGTGTCGTGTGTGAATCCTGGCGCCGACGATGGCAGTTTAAACGTTCTGGTGTGAACCATGGAGCTGCCGCGGCACCGACGATGTCAGTTTGTTTATTTTTCGGAGAGAGTTGGAGTTGGAACATGCGAAAGTTTTGATGCGTCCTCAGCGCGCTGGTTCTGTGTCGGCCAATGGAAGAAAGAAGGGCCGTGCTAACGTCTGATCTACACAGGACAGTGTAATCTAGTTAGTGTTGAAAACATTCTTATATTATGAAACGCATGGAGCAGTACATCAGACGTATTAGTGTCAGAAACACTCTTATATTATGGGACAAAATAAGTAATACTCCCTCCGTTCGAAAATACTTTTCATCAAAATGAATAAAAAGAGATGTATTCTAGATACATCTCTTTTTATCCATTTTGATGACAAGTGAGTAGGTCAGGATGAAGGGAGTAGGTCAGGATGCAAAAATGTCGGTCGTGTAGTACTTTGGGTTTGCTCGTGTTGGAATCAGGAATCCTTGTTTCCTGGCCTGGCAACCCAGGGAACGTCCATCTCTTTTTGACACCGAAGGCTTATCAGTTACTATCACATTTTTTCTGCGGGAAGTTATTCTTTCACTGGAAATCTGTATTCTGAACTGTGCCTGAAATGGAAAGAAAATACCGATTTATACCTGTTAAAACGTAGCATGGTCTCTTAACGTCAGATTTACAAGATTTTCGAAAACAATCTTCTGTAAGACAGGGCATAGAACGAAAGCCAGCGCACAGTCTATTTCGAGTCTGGGATTCTAAAACACCTGAAGCCAAAATATATTGAGGAATTGAAGGAATAGGACAGGCTCTCGCTCCCGTGCGGCTCCACGGGCCGCACCGGGGCGCCCCAGATCCGGCCACCTAAGGCACGCCCTCCTCCTTCTCTCCCCTCACCGCCGCCGGAGGGCGTCGCCGGGGCAAAGCCCGGGCGGCGTCGGCGGCGGTGGGGCCATTTCTCGGTGCAGTGGGGGCGGATCTGCCGCTCTTGGTGTCCGGCGGCGCTGGTGGTCCAGGGGCTGTGCACGCCGGCGAGTCGAGTTCAAGGCTGGCGGCCACGACGTGGCGGCCTTGGTGGGGTGCTGCGTGCGCCCGCCGGTGCACGGCCATGGCGCAGGGGCTCGGCGGGCTGGGCGTGGATCTGCGCGTCGGGGCGAGGGCGTCTTGTGTGTGCAGTGGGTCCTGCGGCGCGGATCTGCTGCCTGCGCGTCGCGGCAAGGGCGCCGGTGCAAAGGGAGTGCGAGGGGATCGACGGTGCAGTAGTCGCGCTGCAGTGGGTGACGTGCAGGGGCGGCTCCATGCCGCGGGTGCTTCGGCGCGCAAGGGGCCGTGCAGAGGCACGGCAGCAGCGCAAGGGGACCGTGCAGAGGCACGGCGGCGGCGTCGGGTGGCCCAGCCGGCGCGGATGTGCTGTGTGTGGGTCGCACTAAGGCGACAAGGCGGCCGCGACAGGGAAGCTCGGCAGGCGGGCGTGAGGGGCTGCGGCTCAGGCGAGGCCGGGCAGGGAGGCTCGGCGGATGTGCGGAGGAGGTTCGGGCAGCACGGATCTGTGGCTGGGTGGCCACCTGCTCCGGCATGGTGGAGGCCCGTCTTGGTGCTGCTGCTCTGGCGGGGCGCGTGGTGGAGGGGCTCGGGCTGCCTGTTTGGCGCTCGGGCGGCGGCTTCGGCTGCGAGGATGATTGGTGGGCTTGTCGGTGCCGGTGCGGGATGATGTGCAACCGAGGTGGTGTGGGAGCTCGGGTGAAGACTCTGTCTCGGCCCTGTGTCGTGACCAGCGATGGCGGCGGCTGTGGCCGTCGTGACCTTCCTGGAGGCATCGCTGATTTGCTGCCGCACTCCTGTCGCACGGATCCGGCCATCTCGGCCTCTTCAGGGGAAACCCTAGATCTTATGATCGGACGATGACGGCGCCTTGGTGTCGTTTTCCCTCTTGGGGGCTTCGTCTTGGAGCTCGGCATCGGCAAGCGGGACCGGTGGTTGGTGGCGTCCAGGCTTCTGTGGCAACGATGATGATGGGAGTGATGTCGGCGACGCGGCAATGGTTGCGGTAGTCGGCTCTTCTTCGGCGTGTCCACGGTATTGCCTCGGTTTGCTTGTTGCTATGGAGTCGAAGCTGCGGCGACGAGGCCCTGTGATATACGATGACTGGCTGCAGGTTGCCCGTTCGGCGATCTCCCGTGGCGCCAGCCGTGCCTGGTTTTGTCCTACTGAGTTCTCCGTCAGAGTTGGAGTTGCGCTGGCTGGCCGCAGGAGGCTGAGGTTTTGGCATCGATCTTCATGCAGCTTCACGTGTCCGCTACAGTGTGGGTTGAGTCGACGATCGCCTACGGCGAAGTGGGAGTCGTTTGCTCAGAGTGTAGGGATGACGATGACGACTCTAGGGGAGAAGTGATGACGATGACGCCTGCGTGCGGTCTCGTGAGGCCCTCTTTGGAGTGGTGTGCGTGGGGCTTTCTATGTGTGCCGCTCAGCGGTTGTGAGGGTTTTAGCCCGGTTCTCCATAATTAACTGGGCAATCTGGTTTTCGCTCGGTTTTCCCTAATTAACCGAGCAACTCTCTTCTGCTTAATTAATTGATGAGGCAAAACTTTTGCCTCCGTTTCAAAAAAATATATATATATTGAGAGAAAAGCAGCTGAACAGTAGTAGCAAGCTTGAATATATATTTACAAAAGCTACACCACCAGGACCAAAAAGTGGCTCCGCAAAAAAAAGGACCAAAAAGTGGGGCCGGCTGCATAGAGGGACCGACGGCTGGGCCCACACCACAATCTTTCCAATAAACAGCACTAACTACGCCGAGGACACCAACACAGCTCATCCACGTTCATGGGAGTTGGGAGATCATGGCCTGAATCACCAGCACTGGTCCGTCTCCCACCTCCGCACCCGCATCACGCCGCCGGCGCCCTCGCCGCGGAACACCCCGAGCGAGCTGTCGTAGCGCGCCCTGGCGGCCGGGTCGGACAGCGTCTCGTACGCCCTCCGGATCTCCAGGAACGCCTCGGGACCCCCGCGGCCGCAGGAGGCGACGTCGGGGTGGAGGCGCTTGGCCATGGAGCGGTACGCGGTCCTGATCTCCACCTGCGTCGCCGCGCGGCCCACGCGCAGCGCTTCGTAGAGCGAGCCCGCCGCCGGCCTCGCCGCGGCCACCATCGGCGGCGCCAGAGGCACTGCTCCCGCCATTGGCTAGATGTTCGGCTTGGTCGGGGTCGAGTTGCGAGTTGGGGGATCGAGTGGGCTGGGAGTTCAACGCTTCAACTTGGAGCGCGAGGGGAGCTGAAGCTTGTGATTATGAAGGGCTCATGCATGCCAGCGTTTCGGGATAGGTTTGGATGTAGGTGGCGGGGAGGTGGGGACATGACATCGATCACTCACTTAGGTTGGGGATGGGACGTCACTGTCGAGTGTCGACTGTCGTCTAGAAGGAAGGCGGGAATGGATTTCCGTTGGTGTCGCACATTGGATCGGCCGGTTCTGTGGCGCCGTCGCTGTGGGCCCTGCCTTCTAGAACGGCATCATCACTCTAGCCTGCCAATACTGATCTGATCTACATCCAGCAAGGATGTACTCCCTCCGTTCCTAAATGTAAGTCTTTGTAGAGATTCCACTAGGTGGACTAGATACGGAACAAAATGAATGAATCCACACTTAAAATGCATCTATATACATCCGTATGTAGTTCATAGTAGAATCTCTACAAAGACTTATATTTAGGAACGGAGGAAGTAGTACAGTTTTCAACTTCCTACTCCTAGAATGTGATTTCTTTGTTCATACTCCCTTCATTCCGAATTACTTGTCGCAGGTATGGATGTATCTAGATGTATTTTACTTCTAGATACATCCATTTTTGCGCGAGTAATTTGAAATGGAGGGAGTAGTTATTTTTGAATTTAGTTAGTTTTTTATTAAGTTCTACTACTAAGCTATTAACACAGACGACATTACTTCCATTGGTTAGACCGATCAGTTTTATTTTTTTAAACTCTTAGACCCATCAGTCTTGCTACGCGTAAGATTTGCTATATCCTTCATTTATTGGGAGAGGAGCCGGTCGGTGGCGTTTGCGTGTTTTGACGTCAGTGAGAGGTTCAAAGTGAGATGCCAGGGCGATGGGCCTTGGGTGGCGGGCTACTCGGTATGCTCTCCGGCTGGTATCAGGGTGGCGGTGGTGGCTGTGCTTCTTCATCATGTGGACGACAAGAGGTGTGACGGTTGATGACTTTGGCACCTTCTCTGTTTTGCTGGGAAGGGGTCTAGATCTAATTTTAGAGGTCTCGGCTTCGTCATGCCGGCTGACTGTGTTGCTCCTTCGCGGCATGGGAAAGCAACCAGACGAAAGCTTTGCGTTGACGCCGATGATGACGGCGCCACCGCTCTTTTCTTGATGACGTTGTCGTAATTTCACTGTCCTATTATGGTTTCAGGTGAAAATCTTTGTTCATTCCATCGAACGCGGCAACAACAATGGATTGCGCCGTTTCCCTCTCGAGGGCATGGCCGTGGAACCCAGTTTTTGTTTTTCTATGTTCTGCTTCTCATCATCATATATCCTTCGTCCGTGTATTATGTTGGTATTTTATCTATAAAAAGCGGGATGGAAGCCCTTCTAGTGGTTTGCCTAGTTTTATATGGCTAAGGATGGATGGAAATGCCACCTCAACAACTAACGTACGGCGTCAAGTCCTTTGCTTGCTTCATGGTCATGCCCTGCATGTTAGTTGTTGTGATCAGATGTAGAGGGTCCCACCAGGACGCTTTGTGTTTTGAGCCATGGGGCCCACCTTCTAGAAGACAAGGGAGATTCCCTAGAACAAGATCTTTTGTAGCTGAAGATTTATGTGAAAATACAACCGTAAACATGCGTGCATATGTGTCCGAACTGAAAAGAAAAAAAATAATAAAATAGTAAAAAAAGTCACATACTTTTTGCAACAAATATGGTCTACTGTTATACTCATGTATAAAGTTTCACGAGAAAAAGAGTTCCGTGGCATATTCTGGATAGAAATAAAACAAATTGATACTTATATAACCTATACACGTTTTTTTTTGCGAATGAACCTATACACATTTACGTAGCTGCAATTTGCTTTGCTAAGAAGTCCCCATAAGTTATTTTGTCGCGAAACTTTATACGCGAGTATAACACTAGACCATGTTTGTTGCAAAAAAAAATCAAAATTATTTATGTTTTCATTCTTTTTGTGCTAAATCTAGTTCATGTAGACCCAAGTTTAAAAATCCACACCGAAGATTTATGTGCTCTATAAAAAAAGCACGCATTACACATATGCTCTAGCACACAAATCGTTTTGGTCCAAGTTTTATGGGTTCCATACTAGAGTACAAGAGCTCGTTCTTACTCGTGCATGACTGCGAAGCTGCCCGAAAGGTAGCAAACATTTTCAATGCCACATTGTGTGCACATGTGATGGGATCAAACAAGCACCGGAATCTTTACTACACGATTTATTATTCCAGACTGGCGTGAAATATCAGTGAACAAATTCCCCCAACCAACTTCTACCCCTTACGCTTATATGTGTGAGCAGACAAATTTGTTCCTAGGTCCATCCAACAATTTCCCGGTCTTCTATCTGTCGGAACAACAAAGTAGGATGGAAGAGAACGATGAATACGAGAGGGAAGAGATGGAAAATCCACAAAAGTATGAAGAGCGCACTAGGAATGGGAGACATCGCAGAATGAGCTTGCTATATTTTTTTCTGGAGTTGTAGACACACCAGACACCACGCGGATATGTTGTGAAATAATTTCACATTTATGCCTAAATATGATTTTTTGTGATTGATCTCATTGATCTAATCTAATGTGAGCTCCTATACTAGTCTCCATGGTCAAGGACTCCATGCTTGACTAATTCATTTCTAACGTCTGGACATAGGCAATACCATGACGAGCATTACTCAATGTGGATGCATGTTTTCACTCTCGAACGGGCACACGTAAGTGCACGTCATTGTAAGCAGAAGAAAACGCCTAAGTGCATGCATGTTTCACAAGCGTGGTAGCCGAGAAAAAACAAAACTAAAAGCCAAATGGAAACACAGAGGGCTCGGGGGAGGAACCCTAGCCGCCGCCGCTACCTTCCACTGCCTCTCCTCGTCTCGCCACCGCCGGATAGAGATTCAGTAGATGGGGATTTAGGTGCTCCATAAAAATAGTACACATCACACATATGTTTTAGCACACAAATGCATATGTTTTAGTTCAAATTTTGTAGGTTTGTACTGGAGTGAAAGAGCACCCCGCTCCCAATCCCATCCAAATTCACTACATGAAAAACACCTTTCCTAGTGATTCACCACTACCAAGAAAAATAAGACCCATCAATAATACCATTTACCATTGACAAGCAGTCTAGTACCCATAAGTGAAAACTTTAACAAACAATGTAGTGCAGCTTCTCTATCTACTACTTAAAAATACGTAAGGTTTCATCTTGCGTCAAATTTTATTCCGACCTATTCATCCGACCATCGCCACGTACACCATCTTGTGAGCCTTTCACCTATTTTCCATCCCTTTCGGTTTTTTATTTCACACGGTTTTCATCTGATTGGCAAAATAAAAGTCAGATTATTGGGAAATGCTAGGCACGCAGCCCGCCCGTGTCACAAAACCCACAAACCCATGAGCCACTCGCTACCGCCGCCACTCACGCCCTAGACCGCGGCGCCACCGCAAGCGTCCACCGCTGCTGACACCATGTCCGTCGAGTCGCTAGCTTACTTCCTGCATCGGTGCTTGTAGCGCCCTTCATTTTTTTATTAGGTCTTCTCCTTTTACTGATGCCACGATTGTTGCTGATGAACTTCTCATGTTGTTGTGACTTGCGAGAGAAGGGGATTTTCATTAGCACCGAATATGATGTCACTAGCTAGCGTCGCTTGCATGGAGATAGTGGTGCCATATTGTGTGTGGAATCTAGAATGGTTGGCGACGACATAGATGAGCCAATCAAATATCCATGTGGCGATCTATGACGATCATCGGTAGTGAGTTTTATTTCTTGCTCCTAGGGATTCCACTAGGCAGGGCCGTCGACAAGGGGGGCCAAAGTGGGCAACCGCCCAGGGCCCCCAAATTCCTACCCCCCCCCACCAAATCACAGTTTCAAGTTAGGATGAAATAGGCCCAGCTTATCTGCCCGCTGGATCGTCCCTGATGTACGAGGGATGTATCTAGTCACGTTTTAGTGTTAGATACATACGTATCTAGACAAATCTAAGACAAGAATTTTGGGACGAGGGAAGTACTACGGTAGTTACGCTATCAGGTCGCCAGGGAAGATCTACAGGACAGTCCTGACTTTGTGCATCAAATCTCCATTGAATCATCGATCTATTCATTATTCATCAATTGATGACGTATTGTAGCTCGTCTAGCTGTTGTTGGCAGATCGTATTTTTCTCTCCTTTTGTAATTACCCTGATGACATTTGTCCATCTATCATGTATTTGTTCTCAAATCATCAATCAACCATGCATTTCTTTGATTGTTTCAGATAGAACTATTTTGAGGATAGTTGCTCATACAAGATTTCAAAGATAGTTGTTCATCCAAGTTTCAAGGTTCAGCATTCTTTTGTTCTCTTATCTTGATAAACCTTGTATTCATGTAATGATGCTTTTCAGTAGAACACGATGTTAATTTATTGCTTTAGCAGTACCTTCAATACTTTAAATTTCATAATTGATGCATTTTTAAGTTATACGAAATAAACACATAATCAAGAATTTGAATTAAACTAGTAAGCATGCACGTGCAACGCACATCTCTGCAGTGGCATCTCGGGCGACTACTCCAGCGATACTGGTTGAGTGTGCAAGGTTTGTTTGAGCAATAGATGTTGGGGGCGGCGACCCTGAGAGCTCGTGTCTTGTGGGTTGAAACTATTGCAGGCATGTGAAATGCTTGCTTGCAGCTTCAATGACATGTACCTAATGTCTTGTGGGCTATTGCAGGCAATGTGGAATGCTTGTTTGCATGTTAAATGCTTGCTTGCAGCTTCAATGACATGGACCTCATGTCTTGTGGGTTGAAACTATTGCAGGCATGTAGAATGCTTGTCTCTTCTCAACCACGAGAGAGTGCCTCATGACTTCCTTTCTTGCAGTGATGAAAGAGTGGATTGTTCAGCAGAGCGAGTCCCCTAG